AAAAGGGAGAGATCAATCAAAGGACTTATGTGCATACATATGAGCCTAACCAGTGGTTGAGGACAATAGGGGGGTGGAGGTATAAGTGGGGGAGGTGGGAGATTGGAATGGGGGGTTGAGGACAAATATGTGATACCTTAATCAATAAAGAATTTTAAAAAAATAAATAAAATAAAATAAAAAGCACATATATGTTTTGCTACATCAAGTCAAACAACCGGAAAATGCAAGCTCATTAAGCATATTTTAATCACCTCGCTACTTCTGTGGCATGGGTGGATATAAATAATTTTAATTGTTCTACAGTTTAAGTAAAGCATTTGAAAAGAAAAAGAATATATATACAGTAAAATATTTACTTGTACAAAGATCAGCTAGGTCTGAAAGGGCAGAGGTGGGCCTGGCACTGGGAGCAGGAAGGTTCCCTTGTGGCTTGCAGGATTGGGGGATGTGAGGTCCCAGGAAGGGGAAATTTCAAAGGAGCGGGGTTCTCCTGGTGAGCAGGTCTCACAAGTGCCCCTGAAGGGCCTAGCAGGCAAAGCTGATGAAACTGTTGCTCAGAACTTAGACAAAGGGGAGAGGTTGTCCTTAGAGCAGTGTGCTACCAGTGTTGCCCACCTTCCTGTGTCCCCTGTACTTTGTGCTTCCTAGAGAAGCAGTTTGGTAGACCTTGGAGTCAGGCCAACTAGTAATCACTCTTCTGAGTCTCACTTTCCTCATATACTAGTACAAATTGAGGCTACAACACCATCTACCTTGGGCTGTTGTGAGGATTAGGAATAATGCAAAGCTCCTAATATACAGTGGGCGCTCAATAGATGACCACAAGGATGTACCTGCATGGCTACTATTTTTATCTGTGCTACCACCAAGAATAGGCAGGCCCAAGTTATTGCTGAGCTGTACTCTCTTTGAGAGATGCTCATTGCCAGCTGGGACAAAACACTGAATTCTAAGACTGTTCACCACCCTTTCACATACATTTGTCAAAGGTGTCTTGGCAGGCAGATATATAAAAATGTGTTCCTGGTTCCCATTGCATGTAATAATTCTCTTTGTTGCTCATCTCAGCACACAAAGAAAAGTATTTCACAAACCTTTTGCTAGTGTTGATATATAGAAGAGAGATTGAGAAATCATTAGAGGGGCAGGGATTAAATAATGTTGTGAAACAGTGATGAAGAAAAAACTTCATTTGCTCTCTGTCCCCCTAGCCTATCAACAGTCTGCTACTCTCACTCCTTGTGCCTGTGCCCCATTTTAGAACCGTTCAAAAAGGCTTCCACGTATGAATTTCATTTGCTGCTCACTCTAGTCTGTGAGGTAAGTAGGGCATTTGTTGCCTGCAACAGAGGAGCTAAGGTAATGACAGAATTGGGATTTGGAGCCAGGTCTCCTTGTTACAGAACACGAGTGAACTGTGCCAGGTTCAACTGTACCTTGGATGAATGGGTTCAAAGCAACCTGTGGGGAAATGATGTTTTGCAAGGAGATAGTGATAACAACAGCACCTTGCTGTAGAGTGTCCAAAAGAGATAGTGGCAACGCATCTGATGAGCAAACTAGAGGCCCAGGGGAAGCAGAGGACAACTTTGGAGTTCAGATGACACAGAAAGGTGGATTTATTTCAAACGTTTCACTTTTTCAAGTTTTAAATGACATAAGTGATGCAGATGACTTGGATGCTCCAGGGTCACCCAGCTAGGGAGTGGCAGAGCCCCCAGGATTAAGACTCTAACTCAGGGCTCTTAATTGCTTCTGGGGCTTGGAATCAGCTCCTTCAGTCCGTCGGCCTTTCTCACAAGGGTGTTGAGAGGGAACAAGAGTGGAAAGGACTAATCACTGCATAATAGTATTAAAAGAAATAGTGCTCCAAGTTCACCTTTCCTAATCAAATGGGCCTCCAGGTGAGAGCTATTGAGAGCAAATGTGGCTACACTGATATGCTTGCACTGTCTACTTACCAAGTTTCCCCGAAAATAAGACATCCTCCGAAAATAAGACCTAGTGCATGGAAAGATAAGACATCCCCTGAAAATAAGACCTAGCGCAACTTTGGGAGAAAAAATTAATATAAGACACTGTCTTATTTTTGGGGAAACAGGGTACTAGCTGTGTGACTGAAGTAAGTTACCCATTTCATTTTCCAGTGTTAGCTTCCTTCTCTGTAAGATGAAGACATCAATTCCTGTCTGACAGATTGTGGAAATGAAATAAGCAGCATATGTGAAAGCATTTTGTAAACTATGGAGCAGTATTATTATCTAGCTGAAAGCGTTGTATCCTCACTTCCAAGAGTCCCCCAAACCCAGCTCACTCTAGGTCCCTGAAAGGCCTGCCTCTGGTGGGAGTAGAGAAGGTGGTTCTATTTTGGTCTCTCCAGCCTGTAGACCAGAGAGGAAAATGAGGTTGCTCACAGCCTGTCTTCTTATCCCCCAGCTGAGGGGGGAAAGCAAGGGAGCTGGCGTAACTTCTTTGGTGAGTCAGCTAAGAAAGAATTTCTAGAGCTCCAATTATGTATAAGTTTGGGTTTAGGTTTGGATTTTTAAAGCTGCTTCCTCTTTTAAAGCAGCTTTAAGACATAACTAAAAGCACAAGTAATTGGCAAACATATGGAAAATGATAGAAGCACAGCTTCTTACTAGTGTGAACTTGAGAAAATTATTCAGCTTCTCTGGGCCTGTTTTCTCATCTGTAAAATGGGGGACACTGCAGGGTCATTGTATTAATAGAATGTGAAAGTGCTGGGTCCAATGCCTGGCACACAACCAAGGCCCAATACCTGTCCATTTTCTTTCCCTTCCTAGTGGACAGACTGTGGTCATTGAGCTCAGAGGAACAGAAAGCGCTTACTCTTCAGTTGCTTGATTCTATTATAGTGGCTGCCATTACTCATTTAATTTTCACAACCCCATGAGACAGCTCATCTACAGACATCAGGAGAGATCAGTTTTATTGCCCAAGATCACACACCTTGTGAAATTTTTGTTGACTTTGAGAGAAACTGATATATTGTTCCACTTACTTATGCATTCATTGGTTGATTCTTATATGTACCCTGACTGGGAACCAAACCCACAACCTTGACATATTGGCTGAAGCTCTAACCAAGTGAACTACCTAGCCAGGGCTAGCTTGCAATTTTAAATCCTCACCCAAGGATATTTTTTCATTGATTTTTAGAGAGAAGGAAAGAGAGAAATATCCATGTGAAAGAAACACATCAATTAGTTGCCTCCTGCATGTGCCCCTACCAGGGCCTGGGCTGAGGAGGAGCCTGCAACCCAGGTACATGCCCTTGACTGGAATTGAACCTGGGACCCTTTGGTAGCAGGCCAAAGCTCTATCCACTGAGACAGACTAGCTAGGGCCAGTTTGCAATTTTTAAAGGCAGGATCCACCATGTCTGGTTTGCTTTTTTGATAAAATGCACGAGGGGGTTTAATCATGCTGGACCTTCTGGAAGGCTCATCTTTAGAGTTGGATCAATAGGGTAACCCCAAACTGGCCCATTTTGAGAATAAATTCAAGGTAGAGCTTCAAGGACAGGAAACAGGCCATTGCCAGAGGCAGCCTGACAGTAATTGAAAGAGCTAAAAACCGAATGTTTTCTTCCCAAATCCTGGGGAATTTAATCTGTGTTCTATCAGTTTTAGGAGCTTATGTTGTGAGGGTGAGATGAGTCCTTTATTAAGCGGTATACAAATATATAATCGGTAGTCTTCTGTCATCTCCCACTAAACACAACCTCCTACTCATCACTTGACAGCCCTCCACTTCCCTCCCTAAAAATAAGAGGGAACTGAGTCTCCTCTTCAAACCCCTCCTAAGCTAGACTGCAGAAGTGAGAATAGGAAGGTTGAGTCATCCTCCTCTTAGAAAATTTAAGTGTACCAAAGGCACTAGAACAAAGTGCTTTTTATACATATCTTTAACACATGGCTGCTTTTTAAAGCTATCAACCCAAGGGCTGAGGACATGTCTTCTTTCTACTGCATAAAGTAGGTACTTCTCAGTGTCATCTGTACCAGCAGTAGCCAACCTTTTGGACCCCATGTACCACTGGTGGTCCATGGACCACCAGTTGGAAACCACTAATCTGTCCCACACCCAGTCATCCGCACCTTACTCATTAGCAAAATGACTGCCTTGGCACAAGTATCACTTCAGACTGTGTCAGGTATTGCACATCACAGGTAAGAAGGGCCAAAATGCTCTATGGCGGCCCATTAAAGAGCTACATTATAGCCTGAGGTGCTTTTCTCCCTAAGTGAGGGTTATGGCAAATAGTTCGAGGGTAAAGACCCCAGCCTCATATGCATACCAAGGATGGCTCTCATAACACTTGATCTATTTATCTCATTTCTCCTGGCCAAGGCAAGGAAGACCAGTTAGGATTGTTACGATCCATTCATTTACAGCTCTAATTCCTGAAAAAAAAAAAAAGTGTGTGGCAGAGCAAGTCCTGGGTTTTGTACTCAACCCTTGCAGAGCGGTATTAAGTTATTTCACAGTGCTAGGTTGGAAGAGTGAAAGCCCCAGCTCTGCAGATCTGAGGTTGGGAAACTCACTGCCCAGTTCAAAGGCAGACAACCAGGATCTCTCCATAAGCCCAGGGACCCACTCCTGCCCCCCTTCAAGCACACACAAAACCAGCTGACACCAGTATTTCTGTATAGTTATAATAGAAAGGACTTTATTTTTAAGGAAAATTCATTCAGCCACTGATTATAGAGTCATTTCTCAGTACTCCTTATCTTCCTACTTAAGAATCTGAAATACAACATGATTACGATAATGCAAAAATAAGAATCACTGGTTCATCATCTAGGGAACAAAACATACTTAATATCTTGACACTTTATTGAACGCAAAGCAAGATTAGGTGTCTTTGCCTTCCTGGTAGAGCTGAAGCAGGAGCCCAGAGAGGGGAAGACTGCGCAGTTTTCCTTTGTGGGGAAGATGTGTGCCCCCTGTCATCTCATCTTGTTGTGGAAAGACTAACCCATGTTCTTTCGGTTGCCATAGCCCCTAGGATGGGTGTCCTTCCAGTCATCCCACTCCCGAGCTCGGTGGAGTGTTTGCTCATCATCCTCTTCCTCCCTTTGTTCTTGATCTTCTTGTTGAGCTGCTCTTTTGGCCTCTGCCAAAGTAGAAAAATGAGAAAGTGACAGAATGTCAGGAACCTCAGCGCCATTCTAAACACAATCACATTAAATGAGAACAAGGCATATGGCTGTCCGCCTGCCTGGGGCCAGCAGAAGCAGGGAGAGCACTTAGATACCTAACAGAGGACATGTTCAACAGTAAGAAAGGGTGCTCTGAGTACTTTTCATAAGAAAGCTAAAACATAAAAGTTGCCCCTCAGGATGAATTCTATTTTGGGAAAGAATTATTACTAAAATGGCTAAATATCCCTGTCAGCCCCCCAAAAAGAAAAAGACCCACAAAAAAGCAAACTACCAACTGACCAACAAAACCCCAGCAAGCTAAAACACTAAAGTAAAAAATATGTATTTTATAATTTGTGATATGCTAAGGAGCAGGAACTATAGGTGACTTCCCCTTCTCCATCCATTTCCTGTTACCGTGTTTCCCCGAAAATAAGGCATCCTCTGAAAATAAGACCTAGCGCATGGAAAGATAAGACATCCCCTGAAAATAAGACCTAGCACAACTTTGGGAGAAAAATTAATATAAGACATTGTCTTATTTTCGGGGAAACAGGGTAGTTATACAATTTTGCTTGTGCGTAAAATTGAAAATCACAGGGCTGTTGAACCTACCAGAAGAGAATATCTGTGTTATTCTGCACATGACTGGAACAGGGTCTGAGGTCTAAATGGCACTTGTCAAGCAGTGTACACCCAAAAGAAATCGAACCAACTGCTATATCTCTTTGGCACTAATTGTTTTCTCTTCCAAGGTAAAAGAACATATTCTGGTGACTCTGAGTTTGCTTATGAGAAACAGTTTCATGACTATGATAAAGAATGAAATGTGTGGGGATCTGATCTACTCTAATAGCTTAGGAGCCTTGTGTTCTTTAAAAACACTTTTATTGTAAAATTAAAGAATACTGTAAATCATATATATTTAACTTTCATTTTCACAAGGAGGCTATATTTATATAGCCTCCATCTGGATCAAAACATCTTCTGTACCCATCTCAACGCTTCTCTATGAACATCTTCCAAATTACAACACCCTCCCCACTCTGCCCCAAAGGTAACCACTGTACCACCTTTTATAGAAATAACTTTCTGGACTTCATTACAGCTTTATAATCCAAATGTGCATCCCAAGACACCAGAGTTGTCCATTTGTACATTCACATTTTACTCAATGACGTCTAGTATGGAGTTGGGACTTCATCACCACAATCTAATTAGAAAATTATATTACCCCGAAAAGACCCCTTGTGCCCATTTACAGTTAGTTCACATTCCCTCCCTTTTTCCAGCCCCTGGAAATCACTATTCTGCTTTCTTTCTCTATAAATTTGTCTATTACTAGTGGCCTGGTGAAGGAAATTTGTGAACAGAGGGGAAGGGTTCCCTTAGCCCAGCCTGCATCCTCTCCAATCTGGGACCCCTCAGGGGATGTCTGACTGCCGGACAAGAATTGGGCCTAAACTGGCAGTTGGACATCCCTCTTACAACCCGGGACCGCTGACTCCTAACTGCTCACCTGCTTGCTTGATCTCACCCCTAACTGCTCTCCCTTGCCAGCCTGATCTCGCACCCAACTGCCTCTGCCTTCTTGATAACCCCTAATTGCCCTCTCTTGCTGGCCTGATATCACCCACAAGTAACTCTCCCTCCCCCTCCCCACCTGCCTGATCACACCCCCAACTGCCCTCCCCTGCTGGCCTGGTTGCCCCCAATTGCCCTTTCCTGCTGGCCTGATCTGGACCCAACGGCTCTCCCCTGCCAGGCAATTTGGTTCTGATTGGTCAGTTTCTATGCCGGTCAGTGTATCCGGGCCTCTCTCCAGGCCTGATCAGAGAGGCGGGACTGATCAGTAGCCCCCGTGGAGGCCTGGAGAGAAAGAGGTGTAGCTGCTGGTGAAGAGAGGCAAAGGCTAATCAACAGTCCCCTCAGCAGTCAGAGCTGGATTGCCTCGCTCGCACTGGCAGTAGTTAGTGCGTGGTCTCCACGGCAACCCAGCACTGACTGCAGGACTGACTTCCAGTGTACAGTCGAGTTTTTGGTTGGTCATTATGGACTCTGGGTTTTTATAGTGTAGGATGGGCATTTCAAAGAAACAGAATCAAGTAATATATAGTCTTGTATTTCATTTCTTTTACTTAGCCAACTATTTCTGAGTTTAGTCTTGCCCATTTAAAATATTTTGGTATCTTTTTGTTGTTAATCCTCACCCAAGGATATTTTTCTACTGATTTTTATTTATGATGTATTTATTTTTATTTTATTTTTGGTTAATCCTCACCCAAGGATATTTTTCCATTGATTTTTAGAGAGAGTGGAAGGGAGAAGGAGAGACAGAAACATCAATTTGAGAGATACACATCGATTGGCTGCCTCCTGCACAATGCTCCAATCAGGACCAGGGATGGAGCCAGGTATGTGCCCTTGATCAGAATTAAGCCTGGTACCCTTCAGTCCTCGGGTAAATACCCTGTCCACTGAGCCAAACCAGCTAGAGCTATTTTGGTATCTTTTTAATCTAGAGGTTCCTCTTCCATTCTTTCCTTTCTTTAAATGTTGTCTTGAAAAAGCTGGGGGTATCAGATCTGTAGAGTTTCCTCAAGTCTTGGATTTTGTTAACTGAATAGTCATGATGCAGTCCAACATATTCTTTTGAAATTCTGTAGATTAGCAAGTTCATACAGAGGGTTGATCTGATTCAGGTTGATCCCTTCATCATGATTATAGGAGATGCTGCCTTCCCTCATCAGGTGGCACAGCTATTGATGCACAATGCCTAGATTCATTAATTTCCCATATGTTTCAAAAAGGTAACACACTTACTTTTAACATTTCCTTTTTATTAACTAGAATACATTTATAAAGAGAGGTTTACCCTCATCTACTACTATTTGATTACCCAGGAGAAAAACAAAATAAATGTTTGATACTTTCACATTATTTACCACTTTTCAAGATAATTGGTTCTTCCAGAACTACTACTCCCAGAATTCCTGGTGCTCCCCATGCTCTAGGTATTCCCTTCTTGCTCTGTCTCTGTACCATGGCATTCTGCTCTGTCAAGTCCTCCACACAACCAGCTCTACCCCTCTGCTCTCTGCCCAGTGCTTGTGTATACAAATTAACCCACCATCTTTGTCTGGTTAATTTGCATACTCACTCCTGATTGGCTGGTGATAACAGCAGAGGTATGGTCAATTTACATGTTTTTCTTATATAGGATGCTTGCCACCAGTCCTCATGTTAATGTCTCTCTCAGCACTTTGGTTGTCTGAAGCTCATTCTCTAGCAATTTTCTCAGAAAGAAATCATGGGAACAGTAGCTCTTAAGTTACTGCATACTGATAAATCTCTGTACCCTTCACTTAAAAGACAATTTTAGCAGGTATATGTCCTTGGCTCACATTTCCCCCCTTGAATATTGTAATATCTGTTACTCCACTTTTTTTGGGGGGGGCATGAAATGTTAGTGTCAAAGTTTCAGGGTGATCTAATTTTCTTCCCTTTAAAAACCACCTGTTGTTTTTTTTTGGCTGAAATTTCCACAGTATTTTTTCTTCTTTCCAGCCTAGTACTTTTATTATTTGTTGGTCATTTTGGGTCAGAATTATCAGGTACACAGTATACTTTTTATAATAAAATCTTTTTCTTTAAGATTCAGGAAAGTCTCCTACTATTAGTTTTTAGCATTTATTCTTTTTTCTTGCTTTGGTTTTCTTCTTCAGTTAATCCTACTATCCTACGCCAGGTCTTCCTTACTTCCTTTGATATGTCAAATCTTTTTAAAACATGTTCCTTTTTACTTTAGTAAGGCATTTCCTATCACTTTCCTCTGCTGCAGCCTTCATTTCTGAAACATTTTCTTAAAAATTATCTTTATTGTTGAAAGTATTACAAATGTCTTTGTTTTTTTCCATTGGGCCCCTCCACCCTGCGCTTGCCCCTCCAGACCTTCACCACTCTATTGTCTGTGTCCATGGGCTATTCATATCCTATATAATAAAAGCCTAATATGCAAACTGTTTCCTTGGGCGGTTGACCACTTGCTATGACATGTGTTGACCACCAGGAGGTGGCACAGAACATGACGGGTGTTGGACGATGTGCTGCAACCTCTCACTGGCTATCTGGGAGCAGGGGTGAGAGGGATGGAGGTGCACTGAGAATGCAGGGTGTCTAAGCTTGCTCTCACTCCTCCTACTACTTTCAATTAGAACACCAGGGCTTGCATACTGGGGAAGTCACCACACTCAGGTGCTGGGTGCCCGTGAGGAACCCACACTGCATCTGTGCAGCCTCTTCTGGATGAGCTAGGCTGTAACCAAGAGGACTGCAGGGACCAGTTGGGTTCCCCATGGGTTTGTGCAGGAGCTGGTCTGTGAGGCCAGCTGGGAGAGTGCGTGCTGCATGTCCAGCTTCCATGTGGCACTGCTGGGCAGCCCAGAGGCCCATGCTGAGCCCCGGCCTACTGCATCCAGCCAAGCTCACCACCATCTTTGTTTGGAGGTTTGGTCACCATGACGGAGGTGGAGGGGGTGTGTGGGAACTCAGGATCCCAGGTGCTTCCCAGAGCCCAGAGGTCAGCTGGGACCTGCCTTTTCATGCCAGATGCTCACACTTCAATTACCAGCAAGGCATCAGGACTGCACCTGTGCAAAAATATTGTGCACTGGGCCTCTAGTATGCATATAAGTTCCCTGATTAATCACTCCCTACCCATCCTCTCATTCCCACCTTCCCTCTAAAATTCCTCAGTCTGTTCCATGATTCTATGTCTCTGCACCTACTTTGTTTATCAGTTTATTTTGTTCATTAGATTCCACATATGAGTGAGATCATATGATACTTATCTTTCTCTGATTGACTCATTCTGCTTAGCATAATATTCTCCAGGTCCATTCATGTTGTTGCAAATGGCAAGAATTTTCCATTGTGTAGATGTACTATAGTTTTCTGATCCAGTCATCTGCTG